ACCCCACCCACACACACCCACATGCGCCCCACGCCGTGCCGGTGCAGCGCGCGGCGCACCGCCAACACATACGCCTCCTCCTCTGTGTGCGAGCGGGCGGAGATGGAGTGTGAGGAGGTTCTCGACCGGGAGGCGCGCCAGCACCTGCCCAGCAGCGGGCGATTCAAGACGCAGTACGAAAAGTGCGGCGCCAGGTTCAGCAGGCAGTGCGTGGGCCCTGCCCTGGAGCACAACAAAGGTGGGCCGGCTGGCTGGCTGGCACCACGCCCTGCGCGGGCCGTGCGTCGCTGGAGGGGCCAGCGCAGGCGCCGGCGCGCGCGCTGCCACGCTGCGCCTGCTGTGGTCGCCGACGCGCGCCGCGGCATGCTCGCGCCTCTGCCCCCCCTCGCAGACCGGCTGGCCAAGGCGTGGGCGCGCGAGAGTGCGCGGTTTGAGCGGGATTACAACGATCGCCTGCTGAGCGGGCTGGTGCTGATGAGGTGGGGGGGCGGGTGGGCGCTGTTGGGTGGGCGGATGGCTGGCGCGGGTTGGATGTGCGCCTGCTGCATCCTGCCCGGCTCGCCGCCTCTGCCTGGCCGCTTGCCGGCCTCTGCTGCCCTGCCGCACGGCTGCCCCGCCCCGCCCCTCCAGCCTGCCCCGCGCCCCTGCCGCCGTGCCGCCCCCCGGCCGCAGCCTGGTTGCCATCCTGGCCTTCCGCTTCGTGGTGAGGGTGCAGCTGGCGGAGACGGCGGGCTGGGTGACCTTTGTGTTCCTCCAGGTGAGGGGCGGCGCCGCCCTCGCCCGCCTTTTTACCCTCCTCTGGCAGCGCCGCAGCGCACAGAGCCGGGGCTGCTTGCCTCCGCCTGCCCGCCTGCCTGCTGGGCGTGCCTGCCTGCCTGCCTGCCCGCCTGCCTGCCTGCCCCGTCCTCAGGTCCCAGCCTCCGCCCTCTCTTCCTTTCCTCCCCTGGTACCGCCAGGTGTACCCGCGCACCTTCCTGGGCGAGGCCTCCATGTACGAACGGTCCTGGTGGCAGCTGCTGGTGCGGGTCTGGGAGGCAATAGTCTTCAACCCAGGTGCGCCGCTGGGGGCTGGAGGGTGGTGGTGGTGGTGGTGGTGTGTGTTGGGGGGGCAGAGAGGGCAGCAAGCCACATGAGAAGGCAGGTGCCCGCTTGCCTGCCGACCTGCCTGCCCCTCCTGCCCCTCCTGCACAAGCAGTGATGGACCTGGAGCGCGTGGGCGTTCCGCTGGCGGCGCTGGGCTGCGCCGGGATTCTCACGCGG